GCAAACTTTGCTCATAAAAGAACATTCACATATAATTATAAAGTTTCAATATAAAAACATGTAAATATTCACATGGTATTTGTCAGTGCCAAATGCTCATAGAGGAAAGTCATAAAGCTCTGATTCTTAATAACACGTAAAAAGAGCAAAACATCAAATTAATGTTATAGCTAAGGGATGGCAAATGAGAACTGAATAAAAACAAGACATAAGTGGATCCCCCCCTCCAGTACTGGGGATTCAACTCAGGACCTTGATCTTCCCAGGCAAGCACTTACTCTACTGAGCTATCTTCCCAGCAAGACATGAGTTTAAAAGATAAACCTTTGATTTTGCCAGCGTGGAGCTCATTCTTATTTAAATCAATTTACATATTTAAAACAGTTATTGTTTCAAGCAGGGTTGAAGCTAAAAGGTAAACCCACTAGGCAATCCATCAATCCACCTACCCACCCTCCTACCTACCTACTCATCTAAAGAGGTTTGACTTTGTGCAAATGTGGGTGCTGTGAAGTAGTCTCTGTAAATGTACTGTCACATCTGATTCTGGAGCTTGAAGTCTATGTGACAGGAAGTAGAGAAAGGATGATAGATATAAAGAGGAAGAATAAAAACAAGCTGGGCACACAGTACAAGCCACAACAGTGTCAGCGCCCACTGCTTCTGACTTTCCTGATGTGTCGTCCAGGAGAAGCTAGGTCCACTGGTCAGGGCACAGTAGTCACACATGCTAGAGGGAGAACCAGCAAAAGTAGCATTGTCATAGGCACAGCTGCTGCCCATCTACCCATGCTGAGCCAATGACTTCGCAGCAGTGTGCAGGAGCTACAAAATGTCACAATGCCATTGCGTTCAAAGCTCACTTAAGAATGTTTCCTTTGTCCCTTTCTTTCTGGAAACATAAGAAAAGCAAATTCTAGGAAAGGCAGTTCATCACAGTCAGATTGACACAAAACAGTCACCAGTGCTACTTGTAACCCACTGAATTTTCTATAAGGAATATGGGAAGGCCTCAAGGAAGTATACAACCCTTAATGATCCAGAGGAAATAGAATAATCCAAATTAGTCCACTTAAGCAATTACTCTAAATTGGAGGGACAGCCAACTAAAGTGAACTATTATAGAAAAATGGAATACTCTAATGATAAAATTCAATATCAGATGGGGAGATAGTTCAGTGACATAAGCGCCTGCCTGGCATGGGCAATGTCCTATGTTCAATCCCCAGTACCAGAAAAAAAAGCTTACCTGTAAATTAATCAATATTCACTTGTTTCTAATGCAAC